ACATATCGCGTATATGAGCCTCGTAAAACATTCCATTTCGTTTTACAATTTCCTCCTGAAAATACAAAATTTTGAGTTAGTATCAGTGCATTTTATTCATTTTCTTTTAACGAAAATCTTAATTTCATTACAGGTTTTTGGCTACGGGTGAGTGTTTTCAGTCTCTGCATTATTATTTTAGATTAGGGGCAACAACTATTGGAGAAATTGTAATCAAAACGTGTAAAATCATTTGGGAAGAACTAGCTCCTTTGTACATGAAGAAGGCAACTGTCGACGGGTAGAAACAAGTTGCAGACAGATTTGGTACGCTTTGGAACTATCAAAATTGTGTTAGGTGTCATTGGTGTTAAATTGCTAAATTTTTATTTGTCAATGTTGGCGATTACGATCGTAATTGATGGAATCAAATTTAGGAAAAATAACAAAAATATAAGTAGTTATCTTTCTCTTTATAGCAGTATTTTTTAGAAAAAGCTGTATGCTTTTTACGGTAATGGATAAAATATATTTAGATTATTATAAAAGAATATATTCTCCACTTACCTGCTACAGCACTCACTTCCCTGGCAACTTCGTCCCAGAGTTTTTCTATTACATCTTTCAAATGATGCTCTTTTAATAGATAATTATATAAAGCCGGTCTCTTTTCTACAGCGACGATTAACTTTTCTGCGTCAATTTCCATTTCGAATTTGCAACCGCCTTTCCGCAATCAAACTTTCTGAACGCACAAGAAGCGGGCACAAACGCGATCCCGCTTTAAATACCCCCCCCACGCAACGGTTCATAAATTTTGAATACGACGATCCGATTCGTCCCTCAACAGTCACCTCATGACGTCGGAACGCCCCATTCATTTTTCATAGGTGCCCGCCTGCAAGGCAACGGTTGTCGGGTTATTCCCACCTCTTACATGAGCTTAGGTTTTCCCCGCGTAACGACCTTTGCGAGCTCAAAAGCTTTGTTTACGTCTCGTTCCCGTTAGACGGAATGTCGGTAGGAGATACTTTCACACGACTGAGCGTCGCCACTCTTACAAATTACAGCTGGAGAACGGATCACAACACAACACTGTAGAAAACAAATGACGAACAGCAGCCGGCGCATGCGCACAACGAAATGCTACGTGTTGCTTCACGAGCGAGCAGTGGTCTGAGAAAGTGAGACGAGCAAAATACTTTCTGCTACATCGTGCTAAAACGCGCTGTTGCCAAAAGCAGCTTTGCTACGTTGGTCTGCGCCCAGCCTTAGGGATCTTAATTTTCATAACTAGCATATGCCAAAACGACCTTCCTTTGACAATAAACATCAGAACTTACATCCTGACACCACCGAACTCGTAGCCTTTCAGTTTGAGGTGTCACTGGATCCCCTGGAAACCCTAATTAAGGAGTTGCTTGGAAATAGCACAACCAGAATAAATAAATAAAAATAAATAAAAGTTTGTTTTTACCCACAAGACAAAAAACACAAACACAGCTAACAACTTTATTCTTTACATCAATAAAATAACAAAAAAACTCTTCATATAACACAAATCTGGTCTTAAAATCAATTACATAACAGAAGTCACGAGTTACTTCATTATACAGTGTAACAATACTTCTAATATTTCAACAACAAAAGACAAGAGCAATCTCTGTACAACTGTACTAGCTGCTCATATTACCAACTTAAAAACAGAACAGAACCTTACTCCACAAACAAACAAACAAAAATTGAAAGTGAGTTTGTGGGCATGTGTGCGCACAACTTCTATGTGCTGCAAGATGAACTCCAGTATCACCTCAGCCCCCTCAAATCCAGCTCGAATACTGCTGGGTAGATTGTTGCTACTTAAGTCCAGCACAAAACATAACCTACTTCTGAAACTGATCTTCATTATAGACAATCGAATGCTGGCCATGAGGAAGGGAAAGGAGGATAAATGGAATATATCGCTGGCAAGTAGCGAGGAAAAACAAGGATAAAACAAATTTAATTGTTAAAAAACACACACTCCTTAAAACTGAAGTTCCTCATTTCCTATATTCTGCACATTAAGAGAAATGAACCTTTCTAACAATTAACCTCTACTTCAGAGTTAGCCAACAAAACAACACAGATTTAGAAATCTTACAATAGCTACTGACTTTGACCATTTCGCCACCAGTTTGGCTGAGGTTTCACGAACTCTGGAACTCACCAAATTCTACCAATAAACAACAGTTAAATGAATTTTGAACCTGAGTTACATTACACCTTCGTGCAACAAGGCGATCAGCTTCAACCAAAAATGACTCATTTGCAACACTCCATTCAAAGTTCAAGTCCCAGATAATTTCCAAAAAAGGAATTAATCATTCTCTAGTTAATCCCCCTTCAGCCTGAATGCTTGCCTTGACAGCGTCCATGTTGCACAAAGTCCTTGCTGCGTCCAATTTAACGCAAGCAATAATCGCTCCCACAACACATGAACACAGTCGGTCACCTCAAGGCCCCATTCTCTACACTTCTCCTCCAAGACGGGAAGATACCACTCTTAAATTTCCAATGTGGTGAAGTACGTGAAACAGAAACCCAACTTATAAGTCCAAATACTCAAATGGCAGTCGCCAGTGAACCAATGATCGGAACCAGGATCAATGGTGAACCCAAAAAAGGAAACAGTTCTCTGATACCAACCTGACACTGTTAATCTTGTTACAGGTTCCAATTTGTGGTGTCACTGGGTCCCTTCGAAACCCCAATCGAAAACAACATAACCAGTACAATCGAATAATAAAAAAAAAAAGCTATCTTCTGGGTTGTAGCACTGTGTAGTCCGGTAGACATTTATTATTTTTTCAGAGGTCCTTGCTGCCTCCATCATCTGGCATTACAACCCAGAAGACAGCCATTTTTATTCTCACCACTGTACAAACTTCAAATCCCACTTAAAGAAATTAAACCATACACACAAAAGTAACATGGTTATGTACAAATTCTATCCTTTACATCAGTAAAATAAGAGAATATTCTGGCTTAAAAATCAGTTACATAACAACGCCAAGAGTAATTCAGTACACAGTGTAATGATCGTAATATCTCAACAAACGACAAGAGAAATTTCTGTACACATTGTACTAAAACAGAACAGAACCTTGATCCACAAACAACTGAGAGTGTGTGTGTGCAACTTCTATGGGCTGCAACATGACCTCCAGAATCAATTCACCCTCAAATCTAACTTGAAAAACACTCCCCACGCTTGCACACAGGATACGATAGGAAGGAAACAAGACGAATATTGATCAGGTACTTCGATCAACTGCAGCCAGAACTAATTAGCCAGACACTACGGCTCAACACGTATGTTAAAATCTTGCAGACTGTGCAGTGTATTGGAACATAACACTTTGAAGGACGCTGATGTCAAACGCATTATCCAAGAAATAGGATAGAATAATGGTTGCAACTCCAGAGACATCAAAAGAACGTAAGAACCTAATTAAAACACCTAAACCTCCTATTAATGTACCCCAAACCCACCATAAATATTAAAATATGGTCCAGTTTCACATTCTTTGGTAATAGTACTAGAATATTCAGAAACACAAATATCAACATAACCTACAAAGTCAATAACACCATAAAATTCCGATGAAATTCAAAGAAACAGAATAATAAATACAAAAAAGTGGTTTATATGCGAGCAGGTCTATATTGGCCAAACCGGTTGGGAATTTAAGATCAGATTTAAAGAACATGTCCACGATATTAGATGTAACGTAACATAATCAAAGTATGCCCAACACATCCTCGACCATGGACACGAATAAGGCCCCATGGAAGATATCATGGACGTGTTAAGAATAGCTCCAAAGGGTAAAATGTTAGATATTCTATAAAAATTACAGATATACAAAATTAGTAAACACAAAGCCACCATTAACGAACAAAACACACAACATTTTAACGTATTATTTGACCTGTGCGTTAAACAGAATAAAGTAAATTTCACATGCAATAGTTGGCCACTCTGATTTCAGAGTTAATATATACCCCATACATTTTTAAAACTGACAGCAACGCCCACACGTCATTGAAGTTTGAAGGCACAGATGACGCAACCACGGCTCACCGTAGACCAACAACAGCAATCAGGCTAAGCGCTCAATTTAATACAGCAAATCCTGCGCAATCAAAATCCAGTTAGGTGTTACATAAAATATGCTTTTGTAAAGTACATACCTTCTATGCTCTGTAGAAAAACATAGTATTTTGGGTAGTACGAGGTGCGATCGGAAAGTTTCAATATTCCAATATCTACATACACAAAAGTTAAATGTTTTTAGTACACTCAGTCACCACCACATGGACCACAGAAAAAATTAGGGGATATTTACTTCATCTCTCGAAAATATGCAAAATGGTGGCTTCATAAATGAGAGCTAAATGTGTAGTTTGGTTTTCCGAAAAGAAATCGCCGATTACAGTTCAAGGAATCTACAGACGTTTTTCTTTTTTAAAATGATCCACCTGACAAGAAGACCATAAAGGCCTGACATAACAAATTTCTGTTGAGGCAGTCAAGTTCTGGTAAAAATTAAATAACTGCGGAGCGTATCAGAGAAGTCCAACAAAGTTGATTCGTAGAGAGTCACTGGAGCCCAATATCCCACGTTCAATAGTTCACAAGGCGATTCATAAACGACTTCGTTTATATGGGTACAAAGTGTATTAGTCTACAAAGAACCTATCGTCACAAGTATCATTAGATCCGCTAGACTAAGGTGGGCAGGGCATGTTGCTAGGATGGAAGACTGACCCACCAAAGAAAATCAATGACAGCAATCCTCGAGGAAAAAGAAATCTTCGAAAAAGTTACACCAATATTTGTGCCTGATATAGTGCAGTCGCGCTGTATGGAGCAGAGACCTGGACACTCAGGAAGAAGGAACGGAAATACCTGGAGAGTATTGAAATGTGGTGTTGGAGAAGAATAGAGAATTTGACAGACTTGTTGCTCAGGTCCAGTCTCTGCCAATTGACAGCATTGATCGCCTGGAGGGCGTCATCAACCTCATATTTGAAAAGGTGAGGCAGCCGTCTCTAGCAGCTGATACATTGAAACAGAACTGTCATATTGATAAAAAAATTTCTTTGTTTGAGACTCTGCAGCTGAATTTCTGAAGTACTGAAAGTATCCTCAGTGTCTGCAGGGGAATTCCAAGAACTTTTTGACTGCCCTACGTATATATGTCATACAGAGCAAAGTGATCATGTGGTGTATTTTTATGTTTAGGCCGTTGATGAACCCAGCTTCTCCGAGGCGTACGCAAGAATGTGCAAAGTTCTGTCCGGCACGCAAGTTCCTGCAGAGTGCGAGATCAAGGATGAACCAGAGATTAACTTCAGGAAGCTGCTGCTAAACCAATGACAGAATCAGTTTAAAAAGGATTCTGAGGTGGAGCTGGATCGAGAAGCAAGGCGTAAAGAGATTGAGGAAGCAGCAGAGCTAGTGAGTACTTCTCAAACTGTCTTTGTCTACAGTCTAATGTTTTACGTTTCTGTCGACAGATTGGGAATAGCTCGGTCTGCTCGATCTGACAGAATATGTGTCTTCCCCCTTTATGCTTGTAGATGAAGATCCATCCTTCAAAGCGTAGTTATTTTTATAAGTTTCTAAAGTTTTTAAGAATCCTGAAGAAAACGAATGACAAGGAAAGTACTAAATCCCTCAAAGTATTTGCACAAGAA